AGAAAAAAACTTATATGTTAAGTTTAACTTAGTCTTTTTTTAAAATAGTAAAAATATAATATTTAATTTACTAATAATATTCAAATATAATTATGTTCAACGCATATTTATATCATTTAACGATAACATTTAAATTCATTTTGAATTAATTTAAATCATTTATAATTATCTACAATATATTAATTAGAAATATTTAAAATTAAATTTTCAGGACAGAAGACTTGAAAAAAAAGAAGCTGAAGAAAATTAGAGAAGATATAATAGTGTTACATAAGTTTGAAATTGTTTTAACATGTTAAATTTTATTTTTAAACTTACTATATACTTTTCTAGAATACTTAAAGACAAATTAGGCAAGAGACTACAACTATAAAAATAAGTGATTATAAAATGTTGAATTCAAATAAATTTGTAAATGATATTCTTATTGAATTTTATTACTCCGTGTACTGTAATTTAAGGATATCTGTTAAAATGTTCTATTGTATAAAGTAGATATAAAAAACAAAAAAAAAAAATGCCAACGGCACGTAGTGTTCCCAAGCGGTCACCCATCCAAGTACTAACTACGCCCGACGTTGCTTAACTTCAGTGATCGGACGAGAACTGGTGTATTCAACGTGGTATGGTCGTTGGCGATAGAACGCGTGTATTTTATTTTATTTAAATATAAAATTAATTATTTAATATTTTATTAACTATTAAATAACGATTAACTATAATCCTATTATTTTTATCACCTAACAAACAATAACTGTCAACTATAATACACAGTGACATATTACATTATTGTCTTAGTATACTACAGTTTTCTCTCCTCCAACTAGATTGTTCACTTTATAAATTATAACCTATAAATTTTTAAGTTATGAACGTTTCTTCCTTTTTGATTACCTTAATTGTTAAGTACATAAGAGCTTATTGTTTAAATTTTCCCAATGAACTCACATTTTATTGCTATTTTGTGTAAAAAAAAAAATTTGATTACCTACTGACCCCATTACCATTGACTATATTAGTATATATTATGTAGTACCTATAATCTATATAATATATACTATATAGTATACTCAATGCTATTACATCATAGCAAGTTTTATTTGAATACCTATCGGCTATCTTTCATTATTGTTTTAATTTCAAATTGTACTTTTTGTTCTAAGTTTTGTTTACTACTATGATACCTAATAACCCGCATGTAGCTGTATTTACTATTTACTATACAAGTCTACATAATATAAAATATAATGTAGGTACAACAGTATTCAAACAATAAATGAAAAATGTTATATCTTTTCCTGCATAAAAATATCCCAAATCATTGTACGATGAAATACGTATGTCAGTATAGATATGGATAAGTTTAGATGAATAAATGAATGTATACGATATTTATACGTTACTACGATAGTAGGTACCTATATAATATGTACCTTGTATTTACGTTTTATACGATAGCTAAATAGATTTCCAACTAAAAATCTGAAAATAAACGAGTAAGATATTACTGTGTTTTGTACAATACTTGTCCTATATGCCAAGTAACTAATTGTGATGGGACGTAAAATTATGATTCAAAAATGGTA